TCTCTCTCTCTCTCTCTCTCTCTCTCTCTCTCTCTCTCTCTCTCTCTCTCTCTCTCTCTCTCTATTCGTATCTCATCACTACTCGACAGGAAAGATGCAATGCACTGCTGGCTGGAGGGATCGCGGCGGAAATCACTCCTTGCTGGCGGACGAGTGGCGGAAATCAGCACCCGCGAATCGATCCACAGTAATGTCCACGCTGGCGGACATCTCGCGCAATCCTCAATGCTCTCGGCGGAACCGTGGGGAAAATCACCGCTGGCCGGCGGAAGAGCGGCGGAAATCAACACTCGTGAAACGATCCATCATCATGTCCAGGGTAACGCCCGCGCCCGAATCCACTGCTGGCTGGCGGAAGAGTGGCGGGAAATCACCGCTGGGTGGAGGAAGACTGGCGGAAATCAACACTCGTGAAACCATCCACCACCACGTCCACGCTGGCAAACAGGCGGCGGAGTGCAATGCTGCCCGCGGGAAAGGTGGCGGGTAACTTCGCCGTGATCGCTGCGACTTCGCCGTAGCTCTCCGCTATCGCCAGAACTAGATCTGATTGCATCTGGATTCGAACTTCGGTGATCGCCCTCAACTTTGCCCTCGACTACGCCCTGCAACTTCGCTGGCTGTGTCACTTCGCCGCAACTTCGTTGTCACATCGCCGCAACTCTCTGCAACTTCTCTGCAACTGCAACTTCTCTGAAACTTCAAATAGAAGACTTGGGCGTTGTATTGAAGAAACTGGCAACAAACGGGCCTTCGAAATTGGCACTCGACCTACGGTGTATATTCGAGGCATGGACTATCAATTCAGGGCACTTTAGACACTTGCCAGATCTTAACAGTGCTCAACGTCGCTTAACGGCGACCTAGGCAAACAGTATCACACCATATTCATCCACGTGTGCGTCTGCCAATCAACTGCCCCCGGGTGATTAGAGTGCTTCAATGCAAAAAGACCCAGTCGAATGTGTGCGAGCTAATCTTTGCCGCGATCTTGGAATGCCAGGCTCTCGAAACTAGCATGGGATAGCATAGACGAAGCGTCTGAGTCCTCTGATTATACACGCACCTGGCCAGACTTATGGTCCAGGTTCGTTGGTCTGATCATGCACGCACCTAGCCAGCTTTGTGATCGAGGTTCGTTGGCCTGATAAGGCACGCACCTAGCCAGCTTTGTGATAGAGGTTCGTTGGCCTGATCATGCACGCAGCTAGCCAGCTTTGTGATCGAGGTTCTTTGGCCGTGCGATCGAGGGAATCTCACTGGGATCTCGGCTGTGTTATCACGCAAGACACGAGAGCCACTGAGGAACGACGACCCGACGCTGTGGATGGCAATCAGCGAGCTGAAACAATCAGGCCGGCGCCATGGGCGGGAAAGACCTTCAATTTTCACACCACTTGGCGGGAAAGGACTTCCACATGGCAGGGCGCAGGGCGCTGCATTATCGTGTACGATTTGGGCGCGAAAGAACTTCAATTTTCACACCATTTGGCGGGAAAGGACTTCCGGCCCACATGTGTCATGTAGAGCCTTGTTTCACTACCGTCTTCCCCCGAACATAAGCCATATGTGTTGTATTTGAGTTTTCCAAAAAAAACGGTTTTTGGAAAGTTAGACGAATACAAGGGCACTTTGAATATAACGCACATGCTTTCTATTCGAATATGCACATGCGTTATATTTTTTTTTAATTCTTTGAAGCCCAACCAATTCAATTACCTGTCAAATCGAGGTAATGGGTGTCCGGGCGGCAGTCGTGTGAGGTGCGCTAATCGGTGCGTTAGCACTTGGTTCCCACACCGCCTGTCGGACGGCGGGCCTAACCCGCGGCGGGTGAGTCCGTCGTGGTCTCACTGCCGCGGGTGGAAACCTAGACTCCTCGTATTGACGAGGACCTACGGCGATGGCCGAAGGTATGTTTTCCAGCGGTTAGAGTTTTGACCGTCGCCTACTAACTACAAGCCTCTATGAAGATTGTAAAGACTACTTCGAAGCCATAGTTTCGTGGATAGGCAAGTGGGGGTTCTTTCAAGAGTAAGCTGACTAGAGGTGGTAGAATGGACGTGGAACCACTTGAGAGAGATGGAAGGGCGCAGGTCCCGGGCGATTACCGCCTGGAAGAGGAAAGGGTTAGAGAGATGGTAAGGGCATGTTTCGAGGAAGGTATCCTTCCAACGAACATTGACCCCGGAGAAATGGAGGTGAGTGGAAGGGAGGTGAAATTCACTCTCAACGCCTCCTTGGACGAGATTAAAATCCGATGGTTAAAAGAGAGAACAGTCACGGTGATTTTTCGCGATTGGGCTAGGTTTCTGCCAAAAAAAGTGAAAAAAGATGTAGTCAGAGCATATGAGGACGTGTGGATTCGGGACGACGTTTTCGGGGAGGAATTTAAAAGGGGTAGGATTAAGGTGGAGAGCCCGAACGTCGTGTCGTATGTTCCAAGGGCACAGGAGATCACTGATTGGATGTTGCAGAAGAAGTCTGACTTCATCGATTTGGCAGGCACCATGTATCGAACCGAATTTAAACCGTGGTTGACTCGGGCCGAAATCCGAGATTGGCGACAACTGGTGGACCACAATGCTTTTTGGGTGGTTGCTGTCGGCATCCCTCTGGATGAAATGCCATTCATCCATGTTCATATTGAGAAAGCGATAGGGAAGGTTATTAAGCAGCACAAGCCAGATGCGAATGAGTCTGATCCAAAGCTGGTCAACTTGAGGTTTGATGTTGCCCCCGCTTGCAAAAGCAATATGAAGGATAAGTTTTCAATTCAAACATGTCAAGGTGATATCCTAGAGGTCAAGTTGGCCGGTCCGGAGTCAGAGTGGTGTAAGCGCTGTCGCTCTTTCTTTCAAACGGAAGACACCTGCCGGCGACTGGGCAGGAGAGCTCAAGGTGGAATCAACAATAACCAGCCTCAAGATTCTGCAACGGGATCTCGACAACCAAGACCAAGTTATAATGGGTCACTGCAAGCACCGGGGGCAGCCTCTCAGCCGGCGGTGCAACCGGCCAGTACTCCTTTGAACGTACAGCAGCATCCAGCTATCAGAATGGACCCCACCTTCTCTCCTTCGAGAGGGCAGGTTCAGCAGCATGGAGTTCCACTTCAAGGCACAGGTCAAGGACAAACCGCTTCGGTCGAAGCTGCCTGGGCAGCTTACTTCAACAGTTTTCCTCCACCGTTGGGGGCGGGTTTGCAACCCGGTTTGGGGCCAATGCAATACCAGATGGGGATGAACCCATCGATGTCAAATCTGCACGCGTTCTCCCCGTGGGTGGCTTCGGTCCCCGTACAGGGAGGGATCTCAGGAAACAGAGAAGCTACGCAGATGCAACAAATGGTATCACCTGCAGGGAGGAACCTCCCAGTTGCAAGCGGAAGTCGTGTACGTGGCGAATCCCCTGGGAAACAACAGAGGGTAAGTGAAGGTGACGTAGACATCCAAGTGGATATTCAGACGGAAAATTTTGGTAGCTCTACAGGCTCCCAGGCTGCTCCGTCAACAGCAGGTAAGCGGAAATTCTCTCGACTTCGAATGGATGCCTTGTCAAAAGGCCAAGCCATTGTTGAATCTAAGGTATTACCAATCTTGTGTTCCTTCGTCAGGAATGGTTTCTGGTTTATTGCATGGGTCGGAGCTGAAGGCGTTCCTCTCCTATTAAATTCAGTGTGTCTTGAATCACCCATGCCCCATGCCACACTTGCGATGGTCAAAACCTTGATTCGTGATAAATTCGCTTGTCGACTTGTGGAGGTCTCTATGCCCAGATTGCTAATCGATATTGAAGGAAGAAGGTGTCGATGCTATGTACCTATCTTCGATGTTCGCTTCCTGCCCAATGAACTTGAACAGTTGGAACATGAAGGCTTCCGACTGTACCCGTTGTCATGGCTCATAGAAGGTAGGAAACCAGAATTGTGACGGATCAGGGTTTCACCCTCAGTGTCTGTCGAATTTCTGTCGGATGTGAACATGAAACTGGGTAGGGAAAGGAAGTTGGATTCTCCATTTTTGAAGCGGTATTTAAATGAAGCTTGGCCCCCTGATATCCTTGATGATAGTTCCCTAATCCAACCTGTGGGAGGGATGACCCTTAATGGGCAGGCTTAGAGTAGCTACGTGGAATATACGTGGTTTGGAGGACTCTTCTGGTAGGAATAAAAAGGGTCGTATGAAAAGTTGGATGCATTCCACATCTTATGCATACAGGAAAGTAAACTCTCAGAGAAAAAGATGTTGGATTGGGAACATGATGGGATGACCCACAGATTTGGTTGCCTGCTATGGGCGCGAGAGGAGGCGTCGCTATTTTAATCCACAAGGATCTGTCGATGGAAATCATTGATTTTTGTGCTGATTTATGGGGTAAATGGGCATGGGTTAAAATTTGGGTAGGTGAGCAAGAATGGATAATTGCATCGATTTATGCTCCGACTGACTTATCTGCTCGTATCAATTTCTTCAAGGACCTCCCCTTGTTTGTCCCTGAGTGTGACCATGTTATTCTTGCTGGGGATTGGAACACAGCGCTGGAAAAACATGGAGGAATCCGGGGGGGCCGAGATATCTCAGCCCTCACCGATTTAATGTCAGAGCTAGATCTGACGGAACCCTACCCGTTGCTACACCCTGCAGAACCAGGTTATACTCGGTTTTCCAATGCCAGGAAAGAGGTTGGTACGATATACAGACGATTAGATTTCTTTTTGCTTTCGTCCTCCGCTTGGAACGCCACTGTGCAGGTCAAGGCAACTTAGAACCCAATTTCCGACCATAAACCGGTTGTAGCCTCCTTAAACATCCAAAAGTTGGAAAGGGGCCCGGGGTATTTCCGGGTTAATACCCAAATATTGAATGATCCAGGGGTAGTAGAGTGGATGCGAAGATTCTGGGCAGATTGGAAGGACAATGTGAACTCCTTCCAATCCAAAGAGGAGCACTGGGACGCTGGAGCCCGTGTGTGTTCACGTCACCTGAGTATATTTTCACGAATCTTGGCCGCTAACCGCAGAGACAAGGAACTGACTCTGTTACGAAAAATTGAAAATGCGGAATCTCGTATGAGAAGTCACCCGATTTCGAATTTGGTTTGGGGTCCTATTAGGAGGAAATTCCTCGCTGAATGGGATGAGCTCCAGATTGAGGAGCCTCAAGCCTAGGCGGAGCGTCTAAGGGTGAAAGGCATGGTGGTATACGGTCGAATGACTCGGGAAACGTTTCATAAGCTGTCCCCTAAGCGTCTCACTCAGTCGATCTCTGAACTACAACATCCATTTGACCATGATCTGCCTGTGGCTCGTGAACGGGCCCAGTTATGTGTCTACGCTGCCACCTATTACCAAGACATCCTTACTACAAGGAGACCTGGTGAGGATCTTACTGAGGACCTTTCCGAAGGTTCCTCCCATTGGGTTCAGTATGTCGCTAGACTGTCACCTCAAGGCAAATTGGATTTGGATCGTCCGATTACGACAGAGGAAGCTTGGGAAGCTTTGAAAGCTATGGCCGAAGGTAAGGCCCCTGGAGATGACGGTCTCCCGGTGGAAGTATATCTGCGAATTTGAGATTCAGTTAAGGATCAGTTAGTGGGGATCTACAATCAGGTGTTAGTAGGCGGTAATTTATCGAAGACAATGAGGAATGGAGTGATATCCCTACTGTATAAAAAAAAGGACAGATCTGAGATTAGGAATTGGCGACCGATTTCGGTCCTCAATGTGTCTTATAAACTCCTGGCAAAGGTGTTAGCCAGGCGATTAGGGAAATACCTCCCCTCCTTGATCTCCAGTGACCAAGCAGCCTTTGTCCACGATCGGTCAATCTTTGAGAATATTGTCACGGTTATTGAGGCCTTGGAAGTGGTGCAAAACTCTCAATCTAATCTGTCCATTTTGATGCTCGAACTCGAAAAGCCTATGATCGGGTCAATTGGACCTATTTTTGACAACCCTGCGGCATCTGGGTTTTGGAGAGAATCTCTGTAATTGGGTAGTGACCCTCTACTCAATGTCAACTGCCTCTGTCATGGTGAATGGCAACCTCTCGGTCCCCTTTGCCCTGTCTCGATCCTTGAGACAGAGCTGTCCTTTAGCTCCTCTGTTATTTGTAGTTTAAATGGAAAACTTGCTCTGCAACATTCGGTCTAATCAGCAGATAATCGGATTGAGGGCAGGTAGTTCCCAATGCAAAGTTAAAGCCCTCGCTGATGATCTTTTTGCTATCTCAGAGAACTCCGTGCAATCAATGAACGCACTGAAGTTCTGCTTGGATGAATACTCGGAGCTCTCCGAAGCTTCGGTGAACTGGGCAAAATCGGTATTTTTTCTCCCTTCCAGGTATTCCCCTGCTGTAAATTGGGGCATGAAGCGTATTGCTGCAGAAGAGTCTGAGCGTTTTTTGGGTGTACAGGTTTCCCTACTTTCCTGTAATGTAGACCAGGAGGGCATTCTCCTGCAACAGTCCTTACAACGAATAGCTACTTGGGGAAAAGCGATCAATTTATCCCTGTTTGGGAGGGTTTTGGTAAATTGTTGTTATTGTGGTTTGTTGTCGCCGTCAGACCAATTAGTAAGCAGCTTTGCTCTTTAATCAAAAGAAGGGCGGACCGCTTCATCTGGAAGCCGTTTGCATCGGAGGATGAAGGCTTTATGTCGAAAGTGGTCTGGGATTTGCTCTGTTTTCCCAAGGAGGAGGGTGGTCTGGGGCTAGTAGATCCTCAGAGAAAAAACATTGCTATGCTGGTTAGATGGATTATTAAATCCATAAATTCTGCTGAAGCCACCTATTGGATCGCACTTGCTGAGGAAATCGTAGCAGCCGAATGGGATCTCAAACGCCATTCGGATGTATGGACTTGTCTGCTACTGAACTCTTATCAGAACAGACGTGTGAAATTTGATTTTTGGAATACTGTCCTGTATGCATGGAAGCATCTAAGGCCAAATGCTTGGTTGAACCCTACCACGAAAACTGAAGTCCTGCTACAACCGCTATTTGATAATCCTGCGATCAGGCAGGAGGATGGTTCGTGCTTTTCTGCAGGTTCCTCTCGGAACAACTTTGGGAAAAGTTGGATCGAGAGAGGAGTGTTAAGAATTGGGGACATTTGGTTGATTCTGGAAGGCCAGTGAATTTCCCCGGGAGCACTGAGGGATTTATTAAGCGCTCTTTGGTTTGTGGAAGAACGGTTGGTTGCGATAATTAATGTTATTCCTGCTCAATGGAAAGTTTTGCTGAGTCCGGAAGGGGTGGATCCCCCACGGACTTGGTACGTCTCCTCGGGAGTTTCGGCTACTCCGCTCTTTTGGAAGTTGACCGGCAATGATCCGGTAGGAAAAAGGGAGTTTGAATGTTGGGAAGGTTGCTCTCCTGAAACACCGAGTGTCTTGATTCAATTAGATGAGCACGCCCATCTTCCGTTGGGGACTGGGCTAGCTCAGGTAAGAATGTGGGAAACTTGTGATGAGGATGGGAATTGGGCCTGTAAAGTATTCGCCAATGGCAAGCCCCTTTCCCAGGTCAAGCTAGATCCCCGTATCTGTGGCTGGAAGGGTGAGGGCAAGGAAGGCGCAGACCTGGCACTTATTGATTACACTGTCCACTTTGGGCAGGAACTCTTAGCCAACAATTCCACCCGGTCTCCTATTCAAACTACGGTTTCCAGATGGAGCCAGGTAATGGATTGCGAGAAGGAAAGTATTACGAAGGCTATTCTAAAATGCTGGAAACAGCTAGCACATGCTCCTAGCCCTAGGCTTGCAGTCAATCTCTGACTGTTGTCCTTGTTGGCCACCCCGTCAGCGGTGAACTTAACACAACGAGGGCTATTGATTGATCTTACTTGTAAGAGGTGTAGCTGGGCTTTCGAGTCCACCCCTCACCTCTGGTTCGATTGCCCCGCGTCGTATCGAATTTGGAAATGGTGGGACTCCTTTTGGGTTGGGGTGGCTGGAAATGTTTTGGTTTGGGACCGAGATTGGGTCCTGCTGGGAGGAATTCTAGACGGTTTGGAACTACACAGTGGATGGGGCTATATAGCCCAGACGGTAAGAGCGGTGGGTTGCGAGGTGATTTGGAAAGAAAGGAACTTACGTATCTTTGAGGATAAGGAAATGACAAACAAGGAGATACGTACATTATTCAAATCTCTGCTACGGCGCCTGATTCTGGCGGATTGGAAAAGGAAAGGGAGCAAGGGTCTTTCTAGTTGGTTCGGAGAAACCTGAGGGTTGGGAGGTAAACTGGTCAAGTTAAAAGGTGGGAAGTTAATATTTACTGACGGGTTCCAGACGTATTAATTTTGGGGGTAAGTAGGGGCATGGTGATGAACCTGGTTTGCTCAGTTTTTCGTTTTCCAAGGAGGAAGGTAGATGGTATGGGGTGGTGGGAGCGACTATTGGGTTCCTTTTGGTCCTGTGGACCGTACTGCCGGTTTAGGCAGCCTGGGGGTCCACAATGGGAGGTAGGTTAGGTAAGGTAGAATGTACAGATTATTTTGATTTATCTTCACTGTCGAAGTAGGCAGCTTGGCGGTAGTTGGTAAGGTAGATTTAGTAGTTGTTTCTTGACTTTGTTTGTGGGTTTGGGCATGTGGTTTTCTGTTATTGGCTTGTGTGGCTTTGTTGGTATGTGACGTTTGTTGTGGTAAGGCCAGGTTTTCAGGACAGCTGCCTGTGTAAGGCATTTTCTGTTCCTAGATATTATTTGGGCCTCGAGCAATGCTCGTAAGCTAAACTGGCTGATGCTGTCAGGATAACTCCGGGTGGAATTGTGAGGTCCCCGGCCTCCCTATACCTGGATATATTGAAGTGTTTTTGATTTAAAAAAAAAAAAAAAAAAAAAAACTGTCAAATCTGGACAGGACGGCCTTTCAGGCCTATTTTATTGTCATTATAGTATTACGGGGAACCCCATAGCAGCCACATCCGTGCTCAAGCCTCCAACGAGGGAACATGCGGGAGCTGCACCCACCAGCAGGTGCGATACCTGCTACAGCAGGTGGGTGATACTGGCCAGGGGTCAGCCGGTAGCATCAGGACGGAGCTGC